TCTATATTTATCTTATCATAAAATAATAATAAAATAGTAAATAAAATATAAAATAAAATGTATATATAATAAAAATTAATATATCGAATAAAAAACAGTAAAAACATTCGAAGAAGGTAAAAATACAGTTGCACTGTTTCCAAGTCGTTAAAATTATAAAAGAACAAAATCAACGTCTACGTAGCTCCTGTGTACATTGTAATCGATGCGGGCAAAACTTTTACTTTGCGTAAAAATCCACCGTCTAATGATCAAAGACAAAGGTTTGTGTACTTCGAAACGTAACGGACTCACCTTATTCCAGGGCGAAAGTAATTGACGATATCCTTGCTTCCCTCTTTCTTCTCTTTATTGTTTGCCTATCGACCCGCGTCCTCGGTTCCACTCCTTGTTCTTTATTCGCCACTCGGAACAACTTTAAAAGAGAGCGACGAGTTCCAAGGAATTAGCGGACACTTCTGTCGGAAAGCTGGCCGGGATGATCTCAGGCGACGACGCGTAGAATTTTATATTCCGTGGAATCGAAGGCCATGGTTCCCGAATGTTTTGACGACCTGTGGAAGGAACGAGGTTTAATATACGATTAGATTAGATTAGGCACAATGCTTCGGGCATATTACGTAAAGCTCTCGCTCAACAACGCTTGTTTAGATAGTGTACGGGAAAAAGAATCGTCCGGTCGACGCTTTTTTACGCGCAGCCTGCTGATACCCGTCCGTTGCCTCGACGCCAACGAATCTCACGGATTCTACGCAATTCCAGTTTTTTTCTAGATTTTTAAGTTTCGCATCGACCTCTCGGTTCATTAACAGGTCGACTAACGCGACATTAAGCGTTTCGTTGGCGTTCGAAATTCACTTTTCTCGCGATACACGCGACAAACTGAAGTTTGCTTGAATGTTTGGAATGCGAAAAATCCGCCGCGATTAATTTTAACTTTCTGGTTTCGATCACGTACAGGTAACACTAATTATTGAAATTCATTTTTATAAATTTCATAAAATAAAATGATATAATATAATATAATATATATATATATATATAATAATATAATAATAATAATATAATATAATATACATATTATATTATATATTATATTATTATAATATTATATATATTATATAATAATAATAATAATATAATTATATATAAAATATATAAATATATATATTTATATAAAATGATATAAATTCATAAAATTCATTTTTATCGGACTATAATTCGGAAAAACTAAATTTTACCGAGATGTTTAGAGAACGCAAAAGAGTTAAAATATCATTCGTTATGATTTTTGACCTTACCTCATTTCAGTTTAATTACTTGAATCACTTTGGTTCTATATTAATTTTGGAGGTTGATTTTCGTCACTTGACGCTCTAATTAGATTACGATACTTTCATTTTGTGGGAACGTTGAGAGTTGACGATGACTCGAGACGTTCGAATGTTTGAGTTCTCTCTTTCGAATAAAAATATACATCTGAAATAATTATCCTAATGAATTCTTTTTTAGTCAAATGTTCTATTCGAATAACGATTATTCATTATTCGTTATAAATTATTCTATTCATTTGTTCGAACAAAATCTTATTCGGATACTTTATCGCCTGGATAAAAATCTAATTTTCTGCACGGGCAATTAGTCGTCGCAGATCTATGATGTTGGCGAACGTATTAACGTGTTGACGACATCGGTTTCGATTGAATTGTGGCGGCGATGCCTTCGATAGAAGAGCGATCACTGCATCGTCCGAGATACGCGTTCAATTTCCAATCAACGGATTTTCTTGGACAAACAGGGCACGCTCATTAAGAAACATTAATTTGTTCTATAAACAGCCACGGCCGAGGCCAGAGAGACGTCGGCTGTTTATTTAGCCCCACGGAGGGAAAAATCCTCGCGAGAAAGTACGTGAGTATCTGCGGAAAACGGCCGCGGAAGAAAACTTATGTAAACACAAAAGAGGGCAATTTCGTGCAAGAGTCGCGATAGCTGCTATAAAACTGGAAGAAGCCTTCGCTTCCAGCTCCCAGGCTTCCCCAATCTTTTAGGGCTGTATCAGCTTACGTAACCGGCCACTGTGAAAATATTTCGGGATATCCGATGGAACATTTTCATCTAATTAGAAGTGCCATCCTCACGTTTTTTCTTTTCCGTATTATCCAGATACAACACGGATAACGTAAATATTCAGCCGTTAGGCCATTCTCTCTTTCCTGCTTTGTAATTTTGTTCAAACGAAAGGAAAGGGCTTTTTGGTCCGGGCAATATTGTAAACACTTTTAAAAATGTTTAATCTTTGTTATGTAATGCGTTTCTTGAATATTCTATAATAATATTATAGTGCCTAACAAACAGTAAGTACTGTAAAAGGAATGTACACTATTATATGTATATATAGTAATATGTAAACTATTATATTATATACAATTCTATTCTATAATAATATTATAGTGCCTAATATGTACACTATTATATTATATACAATTCTATTCTATAATAATATTATAGTGCCTAATATGTACACTATTATATTATATACAATTCTATTCTATAATAATATTATAGTGCCTAATATGTACACTATTATATTATATACAATTCTATTCTATAATAATATTATAGTGCCTAATATGTACACTATTATATTATATACAATTCTATTCTATAATAATATTATAGTGCCTAATATGTACACTATTATATTATATACAATTCTATTCTATAATAATATTATAGTGCCTAATATGTACACTATTATATTATATACAATTCTATTCTATAATAATATTATAGTGCCTAATATGTACACTATTATATTATATACAATTCTATTCTATAATAATATTATAGTGCCTAATATGTACACTATTATATTATATACAATTCTATTCTATAATAATATTATAGTGCCTAATATGTACACTATTATATTATATACAATTCTATTCTATAATAATATTATAGTGCCTAATATGTACACTATTATATTATATACAATTCTATTCTATAATAATATTATAGTGCCTAATATGTACACTATTATATTATATACAATTCTATTCTATAATAATATTATAGTGCCTAATATGTACACTATTATATTATATACAATTCTATTCTATAATAATATTATAGTGCCTAATATGTACACTATTATATTATATACAATTCTATTCTATAATAATATTATAGTGCCTAATATGTACACTATTATATTATATACAATTCTATTCTATAATAATATTATAGTGCCTAATATGTACACTATTATATTATATACAATTCTATTCTATAATAATATTATAGTGCCTAATATGTACACTATTATATTATATACAATTCTATTCTATAATAATATTATAGTGCCTAATATGTACACTATTATATTATATACAATTCTATTCTATAATAATATTATAGTGCCTAATATGTACACTATTATATTATATACAATTCTATTCTATAATAATATTATAGTGCCTAATATGTACACTATTATATTATATACAATTCTATTCTATAATAATATTATAGTGCCTAATATGTACACTATTATATTATATACAATTCTATTCTATAATAATATTATAGTGCCTAATATGTACACTATTATATTATATACAATTCTATTCTATAATAATATTATAGTGCCTAATATGTACACTATTATATTATATACAATTCTATTCTATAATAATATTATAGTGCCTAATATGTACACTATTATATTATATACAATTCTATTCTATAATAATATTATAGTGCCTAATATGTACACTATTATATTATATACAATTCTATTCTANATATAATGAAAAATTATGTTCCTTCTCATGAATAAAATTATTAGAAAATTGTTAACAGAATAATGTATAAATATTAATGTGATTTTGCAAAGTGTGAAAGAATATTGGAGATAAAAAAAACTGGTACGAAAAATAGTTTAGAATTTAATAAAGAATTATAATAAAGAATTAATAATTTATGAAAAATAATCGTTCGCGCCACGATTGTCACAAAAGAATGCTGCAATTATTGATTATAATGATGTAAAAATTCTNATATAATGAAAAATTATGTTCCTTCTCATGAATAAAATTATTAGAAAATTGTTAACAGAATAATGTATAAATATTAATGTGATTTTGCAAAGTGTGAAAGAATATTGGAGATAAAAAAAACTGGTACGAAAAATAGTTTAGAATTTAATAAAGAATTATAATAAAGAATTAATAATTTATGAAAAATAATCGTTCGCGCCACGATTGTCACAAAAGAATGCTGCAATTATTGATTATAATGATGTAAAAATTCTGTTTACGTTTAATTTGCAACTTTAATTCTGTCGAAAAATTAAACGCATCGTTCGATGCATTGTCACTGCATACTTTTCAGTCGAGTCGGTGAAGCGATTCAATTTACATTACAGGATATTTCTCGCGTGGAATTTAATGTCATGGGGTGGCATGCATATTTTAGCATCCTTGAATAAATCACTGATTATAATTGGTCGTGCATAAATGGCATGCAGTTTAATCTAATCAGATTTTTTAAAGAGGCCTCGACCGGCCCCGATGTAAAAAGTTTATACGCTTCCGAAAAATAAACCACTGCTTTTGACTGTATTTCGTTTTGCAAAAAAAATAAATGCCAGAGCGATGATGCACCGATCAACTGAACGACGATGCACAATGATATTCGTATTGTTCCAAGCCCTTGTTTCAGATGTCGAATAAAATGCATTTATTAGCGTTCGTTTTCATCTATCATTGCATATCTCCTGTGCAAATGGAAATTATTATTCAGCATCCCGTACGCTGCAACCGTAATCAACTTGTAAACCGAGAACATATTTCTCCGAAGCAAAATCAATTATTGTACCTCTGGATTTTCAACTGAAACGCGAAAACAAATTTCATCGGCGGAACTTTCATTATAGAAATTCGATCCGGGAACGTTTAACGAAATAAAAAAATAACTGAAATTTTTGACAATTTAATAAATACGAGCAAATTGAAACTCGGGTTCGGAAAACGTTTAAGGCTCGAAAACATATCTTTCGGCGGCGAAATGTTTGTATTATTTTTTAGATTGAAAAAGATGTGTAGCTAATATATTAGCTATTATTATTAGCTATTATAATAGTGTATTACATAATATATATTATATTATTATATATATTATTATATGTTATTATATATTATTACATATTATTATATATTATTATATATAATAGTTTATTATATAAATAGACTATTATATACTACTATATATTATATATACTCTATATATAGTACTATATATTATACTACTATATATAATAGACTATTCCTTATACTCTCCCTGAGTTCGGATCAGTCACTCAATATTAATTTGGTGGCGGCCGAACAGCTTAAACGCGTCCCACAACGGGTCAATCTCAGGGTCTTACTTTTAGAAGCTGGGAAGGATTTCATTGAAGCTCCGCGCGGCTACTCGCGACAGGGCAACATGGTGTGGGGATAGACGGCAAGGATGAAAATGGAGACAGCAGAAGAGATAAGTATGGTGA